CTGTGTGGTGTGGTTACAATTTCATGGTTTGGGTTGGAATTTTGTAGATGTTGCAAGTGGAAGTAGAGGCAAGTGAGCAGATGGATTGTGGCACGGAAGGAGAAGGGAGGGGTTGCTCAACACTGGAAAAGTGAGGAACCTCCACCGACGAACTGATCTTGAGAACGATTTTGGACTGTGCAGAAATGGATAGATTGACTATCATTGAAGGAGGAAGAAGGTACTGACTTCTATCAAACTTGGGACTCTTTTTACTATTGGCTAGAGAAACGGGACTTCGTATAGATTTAAACATGTTTTTAAGCTATCATAAATGGAAAAAAAGTGGGGCTGACCCAGCAGTCCTGATGTTTTAGATGATTGATGTTGTTTTTAGTTTTTCTTTGTTTTTAGGACTATAATTTCAAAAAAAAAACTTATTACAAAAAAAGAATAAAAGAAAGAAAAGGGAGGAGGGAATCCTGCTTATCCTGAAGGGATTCCAAAAGGAAGGAAGGAAGGAAGGAAGGAAGGAAGGAAGGAAGGAAGGAAGGAAGAAAGAAAGAAAGAAAGAAAGAAAGAAAGAAAGAAAGAAAGAAAGAAAGAAAGAAAGAAAAGGAAGGATGAGTGAAGCAAAGATGCAGAAGGGAAGGGTTTTCTTTCACGTGTTGAGGAGGTTTTTGGAAAAATCGTGGAAATGGGATGGTTGTGTTTAGCAAGCAGCCTGAACAGTGGCAGGCTGGAGTTCAACGAGTGAAGACGGCACCTGGGGGCAGCGAAGGGGGGGTGCTGGGCCCTGTGGGCTCAGGCCTGGCTGCTTCCCTCTCACATAAGGATGCCTGTTGGAAGTCCACCTTGTCAGGCAGGTAGTAAATAGGTGCTTGGTTTTCTCTGGGCTGATCTGGTTTCTCTACCTGTTGGACATGCGATTGTTTCATATGTGGGGCGTAATGGGCAAAAGGAAAATTGTGCTGGGGGCCATGGGGATGCGAGTCTGTGAGGTGCTGCATGTTGCAGGAATTCCTTGCTTCAAGTGGGGGTGTGGAGCTGGGTTTGTGAATGGGCTCTTTAGGAGTTTTGGATAAATGGTGGTTGAGTGTTTTGGTACAAAATGGGAAAAACGTGGAAGAAATGAAACTGCTAAAAGTTTCTCATGGAAGCACAAAATGGAGGAGCTGGGAGGGGCCATGGAGGCCATCGAGTTGCCAAATATTTTGATCAGGCTCCAAATTTTACAAGGAAAGATAGCTATGGAGGGTTTTTTGTACAGGAAAGGAATATTGGTGGTCCTAAGGAGGGTTTTCTTTACAGTAGCCTAATGTTGGGGGGGGGGGTAAGCCCATTTGATGGCCCCAGGAAATGACAAGGTTTTTAAAAATTTCCTTGCTGTGAGCATAAGCAGTCATATTCATCAAGATGAATGAGCATTGATTGTTTGATTGTAAAGGGTGCTAGTTCAAATTTCATGTACCATATTTTTCACTCTATAAGGCGCAATTTCCCCCCTCAAAAGTAAGGGGGAATGTCTGTGTGTCTTACAGAGTGAATGTGTGTGTGCCCGATGCCCGGGACGCCACCGGCCGCCTGCACCCCGTGGCACCACCTGGCCGGCACGCGCTTGGCGCATCCTGCTCCGCCCCCCCACCTGGCGCAGGTGAGAGCTGTCAAGCACAGGTCGGTGTGTGTTTTCAAAGGGCAACCCGTCTTTGAATGAAGCCCATGGGAAAGGGATGGGGAATGTGCCTGGGATTATCAGGAAGCATTCCATGCATCAGTTATCTGTTAGTTGGTCAGACACATTTTTTTTAGGATCAGTGGAGATTTGAACAGCATTACCTTTGGGTATGAAGTTTATTCTTCAAAGGCTACTTAGTCTGCTGTGTGTTTGATTCACCGTACAATATCTCATTTTTTGTCAGAAGTTTTTTTCCAATATTTACCAGTAGGGCAGCATGGACATTACTGGCTTTTTTAGATGTGTTATTGAACTGTCTGCAGCAGCTCCTGGATAACTGGTGTAGATTGTGGATTCCTTCAATAATTCCACTACTGACCAAGAAAGTGATGTCAGTGATTGTGAGCAACAGAGCTTCATAAATTCTGACTCTAGCGATGATGAGTTCTATGGGTTGAACGAAAAAGAGAAGAGTATTCGAACTTTAAAGTCTCACTTTTGTCAATGACAGTGATGATGGTTCTTAATGCCACTGTTAACTGCTGTTCACCTTTCAAGGGTGAAATACGGTATTACTGTATTCTCATAGTTTATTAAATAGTTTAGTAAACCATTTGATTCAGAATATTTTTTTTTCTTGTTTTCCTCCTCTAAAAACTAGGTGCATCTTATGGTCAGGTGCGTCTTATACGGTATATGTAATAGATTTGGGACATTTTTGTATTTATGTATGTGAGGGAGGGGGTATCATCTCTGTTAGAATTTGTGCGATACCCTGTTCTCGCTGGACAAATGCCATCAGAAGGCACATGTTGCTTTAACCAAGGCAAACAATGGGTTTGAAGCAGGCAAGTTAAACAAGGGGTTTCTCTTGTGTGCGCTTTTGGCATGGGTTGGATTTGATTTCAACATCTCAGACATTTTTCTTGAGACTGTGCTGAACAGACTTGGGAGGGGGGGATCAGTCTTGCAAAGGGACAAATATTTCTCAGCTTTCTCTCCAAGCTAACGTGGTTAACCAGTGTATGTGAAGCAATGTAAAAGGTTTTTTTGTTTTGTTTTGTTTTTTTTCTAATTCACCCATTTTGTGAGCTGTACTTTCCAGACACCAGATGAACTGGAATGGCAAAGACTGATTCCTGTGTTCTGCCTTGCTCTTTGCATCATCCATGAGGAAGCAAAGGACGAAATAGGCAAACTGTGAGAAACAATTCCTACAGTCAAGCGGACAGCTGAGGCCAGAAATTGAGTGAAGCCTAGACAACGAAATCTCGAAGAAACGCCTCAAAGGGCAAAGCAGATAACTGAACTGGACATTGGGCCATTGCCTCATCTCACACTGTTCCCACTTTGCGAAGCAGGCTAACCCAAGTCTGCTGACCAAAAGGGATGGTGGCCTTAGACAGGATATTCCTCATCATGGGGGTCTCAGCCCCAATGAGGATGATATCTTTAGGTTAATGGGTCAAAAGGAGGGGCCTAGGGAGCAAAGGAACCAGCCCTCAAAATAGATTGGGTAACAGCGCTGCATAGATGAGAGGGGAGCAGGTTAAAGGAGAGAGCTGGCTACCACGGAGATCCTTGCAGCCAAAGGAGGGGAAAGACAATCCCCACCTGAGCTGCCTGGATAGAAGCTGCTTCCTGGGGAGGAGGAAGCACCAGCAGTTATCTGGCTGATTTGTTTGGTTGCTCACAAAAAGGGGGGAACTGTTGGAGAAATATGAAAATCCTGGCAGAGGGGGGTTGCCCATATGCACCGCTGTGCTGAGGTCACATCTCTGTTGGTATTGGCTGTGGTTCAAGAGGATGTGAATCGGTGGCTTGTACAGGGGCTGCTGGGGCCAGTGTTTTGCTGATCGGGTAGGGCAGGTAAAGCTGCCAGATAGACAGCACTGCAATCGCCCTCATTTGCATGCCAAAACACACAGTGACCCCTGTGCCTCAGCGGCAATTTCACAGCTGGGCTACAGTGGAAGCCGGGATAGAGCAAGTGCGGGCGGCTGATCCCGGGTGGAGAGCCGTGCATCGAGACCTCCAGGATGCCCACTGAGGCTTGTTGGCAAAGGAAGAGAAGGGGGAATTCATTTTGGACATCAAAGGCCCCATCAGGTCATTAAGGGGCATTTTGGATATGAGAGAGCAGGAAATTGGGGGATGAACCAGGAGATGAGGACTGCTCCAGGCAGTCGAAAGTGGCTTGGAGAGAGAACCTCTTTTCAAAGGTTAGAGGATCCATGGTGAGAGGGGAGCATTTTGAAGAAGGAAGCTAAATGTGTAAAATGGGGATTCACCAGGAACTGTTCCAGGTGGACCACAAAGGTGAATGAGGGTGTGCTCAGGGCTCCAGTTTGGGGAGAATGGAGTCCTTTACTGGTTCACATGACTGGGTGGAAGTGGGATATAGCTCAGATCACAAGAGGAGGCCCAGTGGATACTGGAAAGCCGTCCTGCTACACTGGGTTGGCACCTGTGTATGTGAGGATGGGTGTGCAACCCTTCCTGTATATTTTTTTCTTGAAAATGGGGGTGTGGGGAGATTCTCCAGGTATCCTAAGGTAGGTGCAGGAGTGGCAGTAGGAATACTAAAATTGGGAGATGTGCCCTACTAGGGTCATTCATCATTCCCAGAGGCGTGCCAGAGTCATACAGGTCACTCAAGAATGCTGTGTGGCAGAGGAAAGAACAATCCCAACCAAAGGAGGGGTGAATGGGATTGGAATGGCCTCTTTTTCAGTATCCACTCACATATATTTAGCACCTCTTCAGGAGCAAACAGCCTGTGCAATAGCGGCCTTTGGAAATGCTGCTATGTGCACACTAGGAAAAGGGCTGGAGAGATGCAGAAAAGGGAGGTATAAACACCACAAAATAGGGTGGCTCTGAATTATGTTTTGGTACCAAAGGAGGGGCCTGTGGGGTGATTGGGTGCATCTGCAAGATGGATTTGAACACAACAGGTGTGAATGAAGACCTAAGAGTAATCCAACAGGTAATGCCAGGGATCAAATAAGGCAGGAATCAGGAATAGAATGGCTGACATAATGGCTCCCCAACTTTATGTGGTTGGAACACCTGTTTACATACTGGGGATAATGGTGATCAGAACAATCTGCTGCATTGCATCTGCAATGTATTCTGGTCTGCCCCCCATGTAACAAGGGGATGAATTTGGGGGAAATGCACAGACGAGGAAATGATTAGGATGATGGTATCAAGATTTAAGAATTAAGAATTGTTGTTTCAAATCATGGTGAAGGAAAGAAAAGGGAGGAATAGATAGGTTTGAAAGGATGATTTGAAAGAAGGGAGTAGAGAGAAATAAAAAGGTAACAAAATTACTTAGCCCAAAGGAGGGGAGGGGCCAATATCAGAAAGCACAAGGTCTGGGGAAACAGGCACGAAGGCAGGAGGGTCAAATACTTCCTGATTGTTTATTGACAAGTTGGACGAACAAAATGAGCCTATTGTAGCCCATCGGGGGCAGGGAAGATGGGGGAGAAGGGCCGGTGCTGGGGAAAAATGGGAAAGAAAAAATTCCCTTCTGTTCCCTTCATTGCAAAAAAAGTTTTAAAAAGAACTCTGTGCATGCCTGGAATATTTTTCTCTTCCGACAGGAAGGAGAGTGTTCATAATAATGGGCATGATTTGAAAACCTACTGAATCCTATGTTTTTTAGTGATGAGATCTATGTTTTGTGTTGCTCTGTTTTCTCACTGCCATGATGGGAGCATCCCTGTGTCTCTGGAGAATCAAGAGGCATTTTTCCATTTCGTGCATTGCAGGACAACCCCTGGGAGCTTGAAGCTCTATATGGAGAGCTGAGGCTGGGATAACGGGTCTCCTGCTTCTTTCCCAAGGGGCCAACGAAACCTTCATAGGAGTGCTCCAACAGAAAAATCATCAGAAAACACCTCCAAAAGCAGGCATTGCCAGGTGGGTTTATTGGCTGCCTGGAAGTGGCCTGCCCATGGTCACATTTTCAGACTTTGTGACACATCCAGGCAGCTGTGCAGGAGTCGAGGGTTCTGTTCCGGGCTGGCCCTTGATGTGCAGAAATGGAGCCCGACCCCCGGCGGCCTTCATGCGGTTGTGGGAGAGAAGCCCACATCCCGGATTCCACAGCAGGTCCTACAGAGCACCTCCTGTTGCACGCACAGGGACAGCCGGGCAGTCCCCGAGGAGCCCCCTGTGGGGTGATGAAGTGGGAATGAGGGTGTGCAGCCTGGAAAACTCCCCGGCCCTCCTGCTCCCCACGTGCTCCAGAGAAGTCGCCTTCGGGTATGCATTATGGCCTCAGTAAGGTCTCCAACTCAGGCTCCCCCTCTGCGCCACCCTCTTTTTGACCCATTTCAGAGCTGCCTGGCCATGGTTGTGGTTTTACGGAGAGTGGGATTGGGGAGAGAAAAGGCAGTGGGTGGGAATGGCAAAGAGCCGCTTCCTGTGGGGAAGAGGCAGATAATAGAGAGGGGCAGCTTTGCTGGGCACCTGTGTTCCAAACAGCCATTCCTGCAATTAGTGGTGTTAGAGAATCCGGGTTTCTCAGCCTGTGAGAAGGCCAGCTATATACGCAAGGGGCCCCTCTTCTGTGAGCCTCGGAATTTTTCTTGAGAGATAGAAACATAGAAACATAGAAACAGATCGAGTCAGAAGGGGCCTCCCGAGCCATCTAGTCTGGTCTCCGGCACCAGCTGGCTCCGCTCACGACATGCCCACCATGTGGACGTCCAACCTATCCTTGAACACCCGCACCGATGGGGCCTCAACGACCTCTCGTGGAAGCCCATTCCACACCCTCGGGGTCCTGATTGCCAGGAAGTGCTTCCTGGCATCCAAATGGAACCTTGGCTCCCTGAGCTTTGCTCCATTGAAGCATGTCCTGCCTTCATCTGCAGGGAAGAACAGGTATCTACCCATCTCCATGTGACATCCCCTCACATACCTGTATGCCACCAACATATCCCCTCTTAGTCTCCTCTTCTTCAGACTGAAGAGACCCAGTTCCCTCAGTGTTGCCTCATATGGCATCCCCTGCAAACCGGCCACCAACCTTGTGGCCCTGTGCTGCACTGACTCCAACCTGGCTATAGCCTTCCTGTAATGAGGGGCCCAAAACTGAACACAATACTCCAATTGTGGGCGCACCAGAGTCGTGTAGTGTGGTAGTAATACCTCTCTTGATCTAGAAGCCACACTTCTGGCTATGCAACCAAGGGTGGCGTTCGCCCTCTTGACCACTGCATCACACTGCTGACTCATGTTTAGCCTGCAGTCAACCAGTACCACGAGGTCCCTTTCACAAGTGCTGCTCTCCAGCCACTTGTCACCAAACCTGTACTTATGACAGCTATTCCTATGCCCCAAGTGCAAGACCTTGCACTTATCCACATTGAATGCCATCCTGTTGTCTCCTGCCCGCTTCCATAGTCTGTCCAGATCCTTTTGGATCTGGAGTACCTGCTCCTCAGCTGTGGCCACTGCTCCAGTTTTAGCGTCATCTGCAAATTTGATCAGCAGACTGTTCACCCCTTCTTCCATGTCATTAATGAAAAGATTAAACAGGATTGGCCCCAGGAAAGAGCCCTGGGGGACCCCGCTTGTTACTGGCCTCCATCCCAATGATTTCCCGCTAATGGTTACCTTCTGCTTACAGTCAGTCAACCATGCCCTAATCCACCGGACAGTGCTTTGGTGTACCCCAAAACTCCTTAGTTTCTCTACCAGGATTTCATGGGGCACTTTGTCAAAAGCCTTGCTGAAATCCAGGTATACCACATCCACTGCATCCCCTCCATCTAGTCATCTCGAAACCTTGTCATAGAATTCCGCAACGTTTGTCTGGAAGGACCTGTTTTTGCGGAAGCCGTGTTGTGTGGCTGTCAGCCTCCCTTCCCTATCTAGCATCACTAGATCTCTCTCTATTATGAGCCTTTTCTCCCCTTCCTCTTCCTATTTACATGCTGAAAGAAGCCCATTTCTTTGCTCTTGATATTCTTGGCAAGCCTCAGCTCATAATCAGCCTTAGCCTTGCGAAGAATCCTTCTGCAACGGGCCTCCTCCTCCCGGTATACCCTTTTGTCTATTTCCCCCAGTACCCATTTCCTAAGGAGGTTCCTCTTTTGTCTAATCCCTCTAACCACCCACTTTTGCATCCATGGCGGCACTCTCCTCCTCCTCCCCACCTTACTTACTAGATGTATCGTCAAGGCTTGCACCTCCAAAACCCCCCTTTTGAGTGTTATCCACCCCTCCTCAACTCGCTTACCTTCCAGTAACCTATCCCAGGAGACTTTCCCCAGTCTGGCTTTCAGTTGGCCAAAGTTGGCCCTCTTGAAGTCCCAGCTTCTAGTGCTCGACCTGCTGCACATCCCCAGTCCCCTGATCTCAAAGCAAAGGATGGAGTGATCACTCGCATCCAGAGCTCCCCTAATCTGTACTTCATCTATCAGCTCCTCCCTGTTGGTCAAGACCAAGTTAAGGATGTTTCTCCCCCTCGTCGCCTCTCGGACCTTCTGTGTGAAAAACGTTCCCTCAATTGCTTCTAGGAAGCAACATGCCCTGGCTGTCACCGCTGAGTGAGTCTCCCAAGTAATATCCGGGAGATAGAAATCTCCCATAATTACTGTGTCTCTCCCCCGTGATATCCTTAGATTCATACAGTGTTTACAAGTGTTTCGAGGAAAAACAAATTCCTGGTTTTGTTTTGAAAACCTGGTCTTGTTTTGAAAAACTGGTTTTGATGGACAAAACTAAAGGCATTATTGTTGGGATGGATTTTAGCTATACAAATGAGTGCACTACCTAAACCGAACTTTCTCTTACAGATGAGGTCACTGTCAATATTGGGAAAAGGTCTCTGAGACTGGCAGAGACAACTGAATATCATTATTTGGAAAGGCAAGAAGTCGAGGATCAGATTTGATCTTTCAGAATGCAGAGGCTGCCTTGCAGTACCTAATTTTATACTATTAGTTATACTAATTATTGTACTATTAGTATAATATTATTATTAAGTATTCTATTCATATAGAAGTTAATACTATATGAATTAGTATTAATTCATAGAATAATACGGTTGTATTCGTATAAATTTTCAGCCAGAGTGGGTTGTCAAATTATTTAGCTGTAAGCCGCCCAGAGATGCAAGTAATTGGATAGCATACAAATTTCATAAATAAATAAATAAAACTTGGAAGAAATGCTCCGTTGCAACAGTTGATCAAGGAGTGCAGAAACTGACCGGTGGAAGCAACTTTACTGACACTTGTGTGCTTTCATTCAAGTTTATGTGCAACTTCTAGAAAGCCTTCTGCACAACTGCCGACATTCCATATACATGCATTGAAACATGCAAATATATGTGTTTACATTACTTTTGTTTGCATTGTTGAAGTTGTATAAAGGAACCTAAAATTATTGCTCTTTGCAAAAAGTGACTTCCCTTGAGCACCTGACTGGTCGTTGTGTGAAGTGAACGCTGGACTGGGTGTGGCCCTGGTCTGAGCCAGCAGCCTTCCTTCTGCCTGAAAGGGACTCCCCTCGAAGCCTGAGAATGGACAGGGGATGCTTTCCCCATGGTTCCATGTCCATGTGAAAGAGTCTGGGGGAGAAGGGAGAGTCCCTTGGTGTCCCATGGCATCAGTGCCTGGAGCCAGGCCCTCAACCCATCCTGGTCTCCTTCCAGGATGGAGGAGTGGCCAACAGGCAGGAATGGAAGCACCACAGTGCAGCACCCCCAGTCCCGGCTGACAGAGCTGCTTCAACAGGCTGCCGTGGGTGGTGGGATCCAAGCCACTCAGGGGTCCAAGGGAATCATCAGGGTTCCTCTGTCCTTCTCCCAGAAAAGCTCGCTCCAGAGGTTTAATAAAGCAGAAACTAAACCTGAGCAGTGAGTGAAATGGATTGAGATACTGCATTCTGTTCAAGAGTACCTAGATGTGCCCAGCAAGCACCTGGCCAAGTCCCTTGTCCAGGAGAAGCAAAGGCAGAAGAGCGGGGGGAAGAACAAGGAGAAGATGGATGGCTTCCATCAAGGAAGGCACCACCTTGAGTTGGCAACAACTGGGAGAAGTCCAAGAAGACTTGACTGCACTCAAGAAAATGAACAATCGAGTGGGTGCACCTGAGCAGACGCTGCTAAAAGGGGGTCTCTGGGACTGCGAAAGCCTGACTGGCACCAGCCTTGGCTGGAATCTGCTGCCTTCAGCCTGTCCAGGGAAGCCATCCTGAGGGCAACAAGTGGGAAAAAATGACAAGTTGGAACACCTCCCACCGACCGGTCAGTGGAAAGGCAGGCCTGCACACCCAGGTCTGCCATGGGAGTGCTTCCCTGCCCCATTTGAAACTTGGTAAGCCCATCAGGGTAAGCTGGCATGAAGGAGCACAGGAAACCCAAGTGACATCGCACTGTATGCAGCATCTCCTTCCTGGCTGATGGGGCTTCCATAGCCATAGCTCCAGGGGCAGAAAGGGGCAGAAAATTCCCACAAGTCCACACGGAAGGTAAGAGTGACTCCAACTGCTGATCTGCCTCCAGGGCTCCAGCTTTCTGCTTATTTCTCTCCTCTGCAATTATGAAGGTCCTTGAGGAATTCCACAGGGTTGTCCATCAAGCTGGTCAATAACAAAGAAACCCCGGAGAAAGCAAGCTGAATACAAGTGTGCCTCGGGCTCCTTGGAGTGTGGCTGCAGCCAAGCCTGACGTCTGACCGCCTGCACATCTCTTCCAGAGAGCCGCTCCTCCTGGTGAGGCTGCAAGGACCACTTTCACCCTGCATCTTGCTACCAGAGCAAGGACAGCCTCGTTCAGTGATGATGGTCCTGCTCTTGCTGCTCCTTTGGCTCCTGCCTCAGGCCGCCCAGGGGATGCGGAGGGGTGTCTGTCCTTTGCTTCCGCAGTTTATGCAGCCAAGAGAGTATTACCGGCCGGGAGACCTGATCATTGGTGGGAACTTACTACTTGGCAGATATTTCTATACCCACCAAGAAGAGTTTCAGAGAACACCACTTATGAGACTAAGTGCTATTCGAATGTAGGTTTCCCTCAAAGTGGTCTGGGATTCAAATCATTGTGTTTGCTATCACACCAGGGTGCTCATTCCAGGAAGGGGAGTCAGGGATGATACTCAAGAGGAAATGTTGAGCTTGAGAGTCCCAGAGTCTGGCCAGGAGGGCCCTTTGCCAAAAGGGAGAGCCAGACTAGGGGTTTCTTCATGGACTTGATCCCGAGGGATGCTGGACCAGTAGCAGAGTGCGAGAACCAGCGGTTTGTTCTCATGTTGACAGTCCCTCTAAGGTGCAAGAGCACACCACCAACCTGCCCCAGGCAGGCTCCACCCTGGACAGGGATGGGAAAGTGGGGCTCTGCTCTGGGATCTTCACACTTTTGGATCTGCTGGCCAATTGCTGGAGCTCCAAGAGTGACTCAGCAAGCCTTTGTGACGAGCAGCTCTGTCAGAACAGCACCAAACTGCACTCCTTCCCACCCTCAAAAGAAGGAAACTCTGGCACAATCTTGTCCAAATTTCCGAGCTGGAGACCTCTGGGCTCAGCAATGACTTCTAAGCTGAGAGTTCTTTGGAATACTGGCCACGACATGCAGGTAACATGCAAAATACAGGTGGGAGACCTCAGGCAACCGAAGCAGATGCGCTGGACATCAACTCCTTCCCATCCATGAACCCCATTAATTAATTAATTAATTAAAACAATTTCTACACTGCCCAATTCGCAAATAGCCTCAGGGCGGCTTACAACATAAATAAACAGTTATATAATTAGCGGTACAAAAACTGGACACATCTCGGCATGTACCTAAAAACCCAATAAATGCAATCAATAAGTTAACAATTAAAATAATTGTTAATAATAATAATAATTTTAATTTAATAAATTGATTAAAACCCCATGAGGACATTCACCCAGGTCTCAGTCGGATCCTGGGCAAATCTGGAGATGCCCACAGCTGCATTTCTGGGCAATTCCAGCAAGCAGGCAGGAGCCTCCGGCATGAAATCTCCGCCCTCAGGTGCCCTCAGGTGCCCTTCCTGCTCTTCGCAGCAAGCGCAGATCCTCTGGACCCCTGGCAGCAAGAGCCCCACCCGCCACACTACAGAACGTGCTGCTCCTGCGTGATGCTTTTTTTTCTTACCCCAAGCATACCCAGGGCCACACGATAGGTAGTCCTCTACTACTTGGAAATGGATCTGAAGAAAATCAGGAGAGGCAGCCAGGGAGCTTCTTTGGGAAACAAACACTCACTCTGTCTAGTTCAGCCTCTACAACTCCGAGCGGCACATGCTTGCCCTCCCTGGATGGAAGAGTGTGTGAAGCTGGTTTGCTCCTTGGGCAAAAACAAATGCAAGGTGCTAGTCCTCATGGCTCTGCATCAAGGCTGCTTTAGATAGTATCCCCAGGGCTACGCAGGCAATCTTCTCCGTGTCAGTCTCTAGCAGGGCCTCTCTGAGAGTGTGGTGGGGTCCCTCCCTCCTTGGATTCCCTGTACATGTGAAGGGCAGAACCTTGGAGAATCTGCAGCTGAGGGAGTTTCTCAGGCATACATGTAAAACAGAGAAATCTGAGTCCGTGCAGGCGTGGCCAGAAGCTCTTTTCATCCTCTCATTGCTTTAGTGCACACAAATTCCCCATGCCTGCACTGCGAAGGAGCCATAGTCCAGCGTTTGAGTAGGGGCCTCCCCAGGACATTCCAGGAATGTTCCTGACTCCCCCTGCATAGGAAGCAGGCTCTAGTCTGGCCCACAGTCCTTCCCCTGGTCCCTGAGCAAGAGGTGACACTGCTTTGCAGGCACTGAGGCAACGCACTGATGGTCCCCAGACCTCAGTTTCTGCAGAAAAGGCTCTGATGAATTCCTGCAGGACAGGAGACTCTCCAGTCTGATCCCTGAGGAGAGGATCCATCCTAGGAGTCCATCTAGGCCTATGGGGAAGGGAGAGGAAGGGAGGCTCTTGCATTCACCCCTTTCTTTTGGGGTTCTCCTTTTTCTGTCTGGCTGATGAAAGCAGAAACCCCTTGCTGCCCTGGATGGAAACAGTTTCCTCTTAAGTCTCCTCACTCCTGTGTTTTCTTTTGCCAAATTATTGAAGGAGGCATGTTCTATAAAGGGTATTCAGCCAGAGGCATCCTTGGTAATAAACCTGGGGGAAGGATCCTGGCACACCTTGCTGTAAGAAAAATGGTCGCCCATGATGTGCTTTCTGAGTAGCTCTGTGCCGTGGCAGCTCTGCCATGGAGTCCCACAGGGCTGTCCTGAACTGAGGGAATGGGCTGGATGAGGGCCAATAATTTGAGACTCAGTTCAGCTAAGACGGTGGTCCTTTTGGTGGTTGGTCGGGTTTTCAGGTAAGTGATTTTGGTCCTGTCCTGGCCGGGGTTGCACTCCCTCTGAGAGACAGGGTCCGCAGCTTGGGAGTGCTCCTCGACCCAGAGCCGTGCCTGGAAGCCCAGGTGATGGCAGAGGTAAGGACGACCTTCTTCCAGCTTCAGCTGATCCATCAGCTGCATCCTCGCCTGTACGAGCACTGCCTAGCAATGGTGACGCATGCTCTGGTCACTTCCCAGTTTGATTACTGTAGCACACTCTATGTGGGGCTGCCCTTGAAAACGATCCAGATACTTGAATTTGTACAAAATAGAGCTGCCAGGCTGCTGACAGGGGCCAGTTGTTCTTCTCATAACGCTGGTCCTCTGTCAGCTACATTGGCTCACAATTGAAGTCTGGGTCCAATTCAAGGTGCTGTTTTTAACTTGTAAAACCCTAAGTGGCTTAGGTCCAGAATACCTGAAGGATCGCCTCCTTCTATATATGAGCTCAGGCCCCTTAGATTGGCAGGGGAGGCCTTGCTCTGGGAACCCTTTTTGAAAGAAGTACGGAGGGTGTCTACCCAGAGGAGGGCCTTCTCTGCACAGTGCATAGTGCACAGACTATGGAATGTGCTCCCCAGAGAGGTCTGCCTGGTGGCAAACTTATACTCCTTCCGGTGCCAGGTAAAAACCTTTTTATTTCACCATCATTTTAATAATTAAGGATTTTAGACATTATAAGATTTTTTCTTTCTTTTCTTTTTTTCTTCTTCTCCACAGTTGCATTTTCTATGCATTTATTATGATTCATTGTTTTGTACTGTTTTAATAATTATGGTTATTATTGTATTATTGTAATTTTACATTGTGTTAGAGGTGTTGAGCACTTGCTGAAGGACAGGATATAAATGTGTGTAATAAATAAATTAATTAATATTGCTCCCACCACGACAGGTCAATCATCAGGAACTACCAGCGCATCCAGGCTTTGGTGTTTGCCATCACTGAGGTCAACAGGGATCTGGCCCTCCTTCCCAACATGACGCTCGGCTTGCGCATCTATGAGCATGAGGACCTGGTCAGAACAATGCATAAGAACAACCTCCTCCTGCTGTTTACAGGGGAAAGAAGGATTCCCAACTACAAATGTGACAAGCAGGGTCAACTCATCTCCATCGTAGAGGATTTTGACTCTAAAGCTTCATCAGAGATGGCAGCCTTGATGGGTGTCTTCAAGATTCCAGAGGTAAATACTTTCCTCAGGAGAGAAGTGTGAGGGACCTGCAGGGAGAAGGACCAACTCTGAGAAGAGATTCATGCCTGCAGTGGGTGTTTCTCTTCAATTCTGGGTAACAGGGCAGGGGGCCTTCTCACCTGGTGAAGTTGCCATGGGACCAACTTAGTGGAGGCCTGGAAGGAATCTCAGGAGAGTCTTGGGGGACATACACCAGTTAGCTGTCCAACTGAGCTGACCAATTGATAGAAAAATCAAAGCTTAGTCTGAACAAGATCTCTTGTTTTCAAAATGCAACCAAAGAGTGGTACGAAGGATTATCAAGAATTTCTTTGCTTAAGCTCCAAGATGGATCATTCCATTATCTTCCAGAAAAACTCATGCATTCCTCTTTTTCTTCCAGATTAATGCCCAAGAAATTCCTCGGTATGAAGGCCTCGTCTGGCTGCTGCGGCATTTCCACTGGAACTGGATTGGGCTGCTTGTTCAGAGCGATGACCATGGTGAGCGGTTCCTCCAGGAACTAAACCCCCTGCTGCAGCAGGAGGACCTCTGTGTGGCCTTCACTGACAGTTTCTCCACATTGGGTTCTGCACACTGGCATGAAATCGAAATTGGATACATCCCTCCTTTGTGGTCGGAAGCAGAAGTCATAGTTTTCTTTGGTGACATCACTGCAACACTGCAATTAACAATCCGGTTACATTTTCAAGAGGAAAAATCAAAGATCCCATTTGAGAAAGTTTGGATCCTGACCTCCCATTCAGGATTTGAAGCTAGTGCAAACTCTGCCTATGGATTTTATTCAACGTCGCTTCATGGAACCCTGCACTTCAGGGGCCACACAAGGGATGTTCCCGGATTCCAGGCTTTTTTCCTGGCTTTAGATCCGTTCCACCCTCAAGGAGACATCTTCATTAATGGATGGTGGGAAAAGTCATTCACGTGTCAGTTTCTGAGATCAGGAGACCCCCCTGGAGAGTCACATCGAATCTGCACAGGGAGGGAGATGCAGGCGGATCCAAGCACCTTATTTTTTGAGTTGCGCATGTCCAGCCACAGCTACCGCATCTACAATGCCGTCCAGTCTGTGGCGCACACGCTGCATGCCCTGTCTGCGTCTGAGCTGAAATATTCACCGGTGCGGGAAAGGAAGCAGCTTCTGCACATTCAGCCATGGCAGGTAAGGTCTGCATCCAGATGGGAGGAACTTATCCACGGAGCTCTTTTGGTTTCTGAGTCAGTGACCCTGCAGGGAAAGGATAGACTGTGAGGATGCCTAATTAAGGGAAAGCAGGAGAAACTTTCCCTGTGGAGTTCACTCCCTGGATGCAATTTCTCTCAGTGGACATTTGGAAGTGAGCAACGCTTAGCCGGGATCGGTGGTGCTCTTGGAATACAGATGCTTTCCAAATTGAACATATTGTGAATGGAAGAAGCATTCACACTCCAGCCAAAGACATCTAGTTCCAGTTTAATATACTTATGGAGAATGGGCAGAGGGTCTGCCCTACCAGAATGTTTCTTCCTGGAAGCAGAGAGGAAACCTGCTGGACCCTTGGCTGCTCCAGGCATATGATTTATTGCTCCCCTGTCATGGTATGAGTACTTGGAAGGAAGCCGAGACCAGGGAAGGATGCTCAAACCAGTGGGCAAACTTACCTGAGCAGATGTCAGCAAAGGGGGGAGCATCTAGAGCATAAATTTTCCATGAGAATAATGGGGAGTCAGAGTGCATTCCACTTACTGTCAACTGAACTGAAGATGTCTGCAGATCCTGGTCCCACTGAGGAACGTCCGCTTTAACAACAGTGCTGGGGAGGAAGTCGCTTTCACAGAAAAAGGCAGGAAATATGACATCTTGAACTGGAGAGTGTCCCCAAATGGAACTCTGCATCCTGTGAGGATTGGATGGGTTGATCATGGTGCTTCCACAGGCCAGGACTTCTCCATCCACTCTGCAGCAATCGTGTGGGCCATGAAGGTACAGCTGGAACAAACCGTTTGGGTCATATAAGGGGAGGAATGGCACAAATTCACTTTTACAAAAAAGATGCTTTGCTCTCCCACCACTCACTTGAAAGAGACCTTTCCTCACCAAAAATCCCACATTCTTTCCATGGGCTATTGGAGAGGAAGCAGTGATAGGCCAGAGAGGGCACAGTGGACCAAGGGTTGGACCCCAAAGAAGGAACCCCCCAGAGATCCTGGTTCTGTCTCAGAAGGGATTTAATAGGAGCCTCTGTCCTGATGTTGCTGATGAAGCTGGAGGCGTCCAGAAATGTTTCATTCGACAGAGATTGTGGACCCACCTGCCAAGCAACGCAAAAGCCATGATGGTAGAATCTCCATTAAGTAGCTCTTCAGTGCATTTCTCTCTTCCAAATACATTGAAGTGATTCTTTCTTCAACTTTTAGACGATGCCCGAGGCAAGGTGTGTGGAGAGGTGCACTCCAGGGCACTGGAGGAGAGTTCCAAGGGAGAAGCCGGTCTGCTGCTACAGGTGTGAACGTTGTGCAGCTGGGATGTTCTCAACCTCCACAGGTACCAGAAGTATTGGGACCCTCTCATCAACTCGGAAGATCATGAGAGGTGGGTGGTGTGGGACCAAGGGAGGCTCAAGGAACCTGTTTTGCACATGTTCACAAAAAGGTACAATCTGATCCAGAAAAAACAGCTTTCCACATCTTCATTTGAGGGTGGGAACTTGAACTTGAGTGTAATGGTAGACATAGTTCCACAGATGTTGCTTATTTCAGATGCAGCTCACTGTGCTCCATGCCCACAAGATCAGCACCCAAACAAGAACCACGACCGGTGCATCCCCAAGACGATCCACTTCCTTTCCCATGAAGAGACACTTGGAATCCTTTCCACTTTCCTGGTCCTTTTCCTCTGCCTCAGCACCTTTGCTGTGTTGGCAACATTCATTAAATATCACAACACACCCATCGTCAAAGCCAACAACCGAGAACTCAGCTATGTCCTCCTCAACTCTCTCCTGCTCTGCTTCCTCTGCTCCTTCCTTTTCATTGGACGACCTACAAAGCTCACCTGTCTTCTGAGACAAGCTGCTTTTGGCATCACCTTCTCTCTTGCAGTTTCTTGTGTGCTGGCAAAAACAGTCATGGTGGTCCTAGTCTTTCTGGCCACCAAGCCAGGAAACATGGCAAGTCGGCTCTTGGGGAGACCACTGACGACCTCCATTGTGCTGATCGGTCCCCTCATCCAGGCTGCGATCTGTGTTGTCTGGTTGCTGACCTCTCCCCCTTTCCTAAATCTGGACTTCCATTCTCTCTCTGGAGAGATCATCGTGGAATGCAATGAAGGCTCCCTCACCATGTTTTATGCTGTCCTGGCTTACATGGGCTTCCTGGCTCTTTTCAGTTTCAGCATGGCTTTCCTGGCCAGGAAACTGCCTGACAGCTTCAATGAAGCCAAGTTCATCACCTTCAGCATGCTGGTCTTTTGCAGCGTGTGGGTCTCCTTTGTGCCCACCTACCTGAGCACCAAGGGGAAGTACATGGTGGTGGTGGAGGTCTTCTCCATCACATCCTCGGGGACTGGTCTCCTGGCTTTCCTCTTTCTACCCAAATGTTACATCATTCTCTTGCGGTCCAGTCTCAATAGCAGAGGCTATCTCATAAGGAAAATGTAATCCAAACAGTTCATGAGTTGGTCAAATTTTGTCCCATATTTGGTACCTAAATACTGTACATCAATAATATGATTCTCCCTATTTCAGTACTTGAGTTAATGTGGTACCCCACAATGATGGTTTTTACTTAATAAAATTCCTGTCTTCCCTCATGTGTTTTGTGTCCATGTGAGTGTCTTCTAAGGATAACAGGATTAAGGGGATGGGTTATACTACACCACCCTTTCTGCAGGGGAGATGTTGACAGCACATCACCCTGCCCTCTGGTCCCAATTTCTGTGGATTCAGAGGGTTTTTACACTGTTACAAAACAGGTCTTGTCTGCTTCAATCACTGCCACTGCAGTTCCTGGAACTTGATTTGTAGCATGAGGATGTGGCATGGTACATTCTCCAATGGCTCACGGGAAGATTCTTTCCTCTGTTGTGCTTCTACATAAGCTTAGTCTCTCACCTGCAATGGATGGCACATTTCACGTGATTTCTGGAAGGGTCCAGCTTAAAACAGGTACATGAAAAGGCCTTCACACACTTCAAAGAAGCTTGTAGTGGACAGAGATCACGTCTACTGACATCAGGATATTTTGCAGAGTAACTTTCATTGGGGAAGAAATTGTAGAAAGTTTCAAAATAAGAACATTTTTACTCTGTCCCAGCACAAATCCCTTTAGCACAGTCTCAAATTTCTCTTCTGTTGTACCAGTCTGTCCAATACACGGTGAACACAACATGACAAAGCTACCATTGCTGAACATGGACGCTCCAAAAACTTGCTGATTGCATTTTCTAATGACAAAAGTGCTTGTTGATGAAGGTCATCCTGTTGGGTAATTCAGATAAATCCTCGTAGAATGAAACCTACCCCCTTTCTCAGAAAGAAGCCAAATTCCAAGCCAGGTTACTCTTTAACTTTTCTGCTCCTTTAATATCTCTGGGTTCACCTGCGGCAGCTACTGCATTCAGGTGTAAAGTTAACTGCATGGAGACTTTTGTGCTACTGATCTGCTCGGAGCAGCAACCTGCCTTTGATGAATTCATGCACAAATTGATAGCCAATACAAGCAAAGACTCACAATTGTCTTGTCAAACTCTTGCAATCAAATGCTATTGTGCTGAGTCCCCTCTGAGGAGCTCTCACATTCTTTTCACACTGTTCCCCTTATTTCATGATCACGTGAACAGTTGCTATGACATGTGACTCAGAACCTAGAATACGCTCTGTGTATGTTCTAGAAGCCCGTAATTAGTCTGGCGTGTGCTCAACAGCACTGGTGAAAGTATGGGGTTCTCTGTAGAGGATGTCTGAGTGATGTTTGACTAAACTGTTGAGGTTCAAGGTGAAAGGGGTCGCCTTCACCGAATTCGTTTGTTCATTCCCACATCTGCTATCATTCCTGCATCTGCTATCTTTCCCATTCAGTCTTTTCTGTCTGCCAACATTTTTCGCCTCACAAAATTGGTGCATGCAAGAACAAACAGGAGCCTACTATAAGGCAACTTTGGTCCCATTAATTCGTTTTTGTGCATTTCCCACCTGTTTTCATTCATGAAAAGGAGGGGCTACTTACGGGAAGGAGGTCTTGGCAGAAGCAGGCTGTTTTAACTCTGCCAGCTCGTGATGCTGGTGCAAAACACAGTCTAAAATTTCCAGGACTCTCTTTCTGAATTTGGGGCCTTCTCAGGGTGTGTCAGCAATATTTGGCAACATCGCTAAAGCGAACTGACTTCTTGTCAAGAAAAGGTAAAATAGTAGCTTCAGAACTAGGAATTGGGATAAGGAATCTCCAACTCCCGACACCACACCCCCAAGAGTTTCATCCCTTCCCAGCCAATCATTCTGATGTGGCACTGCAGTGACAAGTTGGGAGACTCAGGATTTGTAAGTTGGGTGTTCAACCTGGCCCAGATGTCAGGTGAGAAATGTTGTAACCCCCCGCCCTCATAATCGAACATGCAGCCAGGGCATGGCTCGTCACGGGTAAAAAGCATGATCAGGGTGTCCTGTTCGCGTGAACGAGAACAAGAACCCCAACGAATGTGCACGCTACGCAAGGATGGAAACAAAGCAGGCTACGCTCAAGCATAACCGCAGACATCACGCCCTTGTACCCTCGCTTGCTTGCTTTAGCATGGGAAATGTGCAAAATGTGCAAATTTAGCTCAGTAGGATTCCCCTATTGTTCGCTGTTATTCAAGCACCTGCATAGTTGTAAAAGAGTATAAAAATGGTGCCCTCCTTCTGCTCGAGACCGCACTCCAACGAGTGTGGTCACTGCAGGTAAATAAACTCCTTCTCTCGAAAATTCCAACTGGTCTCTGGTCTCATCCATAAAACATCAAGTCTCTGGACAGGGAGGAAAGCTTGCTCTGAAAAGGTAAACTGAACAGGTACACTTAACTGATATCAAGGGGCAATGTGGGTTGCCCCATATTTCCTTTCGCAAGTTTTATACACCGGTCACACCCTGCCAACCGTTTGGGAACCAGAGTGTAAGAATGATGATCAAGATGCTGTTCGAATGAGATCATTGGTAGTTGAGCAATAGAAGCTCTGCTAAAAGAAACTGGAGGAGAAATGCTGTGCTCAGAAAGAAAGCGTGCTATAACTTTCCATCTTCTCCCACCAGCAAAACCATCCCACCTATTGGAGTAACTGCCAGGCATATTTAAATGCTCCAGAATGGCTAAAATATCCAGGGCTCCAGCCTCCAAAGACCAAAGTGGGGGAGGCAAACAAAGAGGGGGGACTCTGAGCCATGGGGGGGGGGAATGAAGCCTCTTTTTTGAAGAATGAGCAGTCTTCATCTGGATATGTTTCTGGGCAAGACAACCAGGGATGGTGTCCGTCTCCTTCCTCCCTCCCTCCCTCCCTTCCCAGTGTCTTATGCCACACATTGATTCCATTCTGGGGCTCACCTGGGCCACCGTCTCCTCATTAGACCCATTGATTCATGCACCAGGAGTAAGTGTATCTCTTGCAACTGTGAAGAAAGGTTCCAGTCCTCATGGGTTTGCATGAGGCGCTGCTTAAAGCAAGGATGTTGGAAGCTGCCTTTTCTGGAGCCAGGGAGTAAACCTGTCTTTCTTAAAAGTGCATCTGATTCAGGATAGTTCTACCTTGCCTTGCCTTGCCTTGCTTTTGCAAGGAGCCCGAGGCAGCTTACAGAGTCGTCCTTCCCATTTCATCCTTACAGCAGCACTGTGAGGTGGTTGAGGTGGGGAGGTAATGTCTGGCCCAATATCACCCAGGGACTTTCTTGGCTGAGTGGACTGGAGCCTGGGTCTCCCCAGTATCAGCCCAGTGCTCTGACCACTGCAACCCCCTTCCCTCTGGGCCCACTCGCAGTGGCAGCCTGGGCTCAGAGAGGGCTCCTTGCCATGCTGCAAACCAAATCTGGGACCCTCTTTCTGCAAAGCAGTGGCTCTGCCACTGAGCTCTGCTAAAGGGAAGCAAAGATTCCAGCCTCCATGTGTCTGAATTAAGACCGACTGAAGCCTGGATGCAGGAGGGTCCCTTCTGGCAGCTTAAATGGCGGGCTCATCTCGCTCAGGACTGTCTTGCCCTACAGGCTCCACTAGAGGGGCACTTCCAGATGGAGGCTTTTATCAGGGCAAACCAGGATGCGCAATCCCCCCTTGCTCCCCACTCCTGCCGCCAATCCTCTGCCCAAGCTCCTGCCTTGCTTTTGCAAGTTCCCTGGCCATGTTCTCCACACTCTCCCAGCCTCTGCTGCTCTGCTGCTACTCCCAAGACCCAGACGGAGAGTGCTGCAGGCGTAGCATGGACACGGAGCCCCTGAGCATCTGCAAAGTGCCTTTGGGA